AAATTTTTTTCAAATCATAATTATATTTATTATTATTATTATTATTATTATTATTATTATTATTATTATTATTATTATTATTATTATTATTATTACAGTAATTAACATACCACTTGCTTTAAGCAAATAAGGTTTTCCAAGAACATCACCAGCCCAAGGTTCATTCAATAAATCATAACCAAGCAGGTTATTTGAATCTTTAAATAATCCAACAATCTTTAACCATTGGTTAATGAATGCATCTCTTATTCCTTTATAATTATCATAAAAATTTTGCCAAGCTTTTGATACTGCACTGGTAGAATATAAAAGAGGCCAGCTTATCTTACATGCACTACCGGTGGGTACATCATTTGCATCGTATCTTGTTGGAAAACCAAATGGTATTGGAAACGCCTTACCGCCATCTGGCAAAGATGCCCATTTTGGAAACTATTTATTTATTTTTTATTATTATATTGTAGATTTAGTTTATTCCTTTTTAGGAATGATAATGATTATTTTACTTACGCCCTCCCCGCAAAATTTTTCATTCATAACATCCTAATTAAGTTTAAATATAATAATTAACAACATAATCAATCATATTCACAATTGTCTAAAGTATCTATCTACCTGGTGAGAATCCAACAATACATAAATTCCATATTGATTGCATTTATCAACTATACCTTTAATAACTTGTAAATAGGATTCATTATATTGATTTTGCTCAGGTTCAACACCTGCCCAAAGCACCCCAAGTCTTATAACATTCATATTGACGCTAGATAATATCTAAAAATTTTGAAAATGTATACAATAAGATTATATGATAATAAGATGTCATTATCATTTTATCATAATTATTTTTTACCTGAATGTCTTCTTCTGTGAAAGAAGTTATTGGATCGAAAGCATCAATTTTTGGATAGTAAGGATATCCTTTATAAACCTTATTATATTTTCAAAAAATAAAGTTTTTTTGTCATCATTAATTATTATTTTTTTTTTTTTTGACTTGAGGAAATATAATTACCACATTAAGTCCTCTAAAAAACCTTTGCCTTCCATAACTATCAATAAATTGATGGTCTCCATCAATTCCTGCGATTATGAAGATCCATATATTAGAAAAGAAGAATATGGGGAATGTCCAACCTGTAATAGATATAATACTCGTTATTCATGGTGTCAATCATGTAATCCAAAGTTGTT